AGGTGATAAACGGTGTTGATTTTTCCATAAGCGCGTGATTTAATTTTTAGGTTAAATGCTAAATTTGGTCCCTCAACTTTAGTGAGTTGCACATTTTTGGTCCTTCAACAATTTTTTGCACTTTTTTGATCCCTTAACTATACGAAATGCACTCCGTTAATCCTTCTGTTAATTTTCGCCGTTAACTTGGCCACATGGCATTTTTTATATTTTTTTTGGATGACATGGCAAAAATAAATTAAAAGGCGCTGATTTGGACTTTTTTTTGGCGACATGTCATCTTCCTTTTCATCTTCCCTCTCTGCAAAATTAACCTCCACTCCATCTGCAGAATCAATCTTAACCCATTTCTTCTTCCTCTCTAAATACTCTCTCATCTCCACTCCTCTACAAAACCGATCTTAACCCATTTCTTCTTCTTCTCTTTTCTCAAGAGAACTTGAGAAATTGAACCCAGTTACTGGGTTTCATTCAAGCCTCAAACTTAGTAAATCTTATCAAATCAAATTAACCATTCAATAAACAAAATAAACAATATCAATCAAACTCCAACAAAAATACAATCAAATTGTAAATCAACTCTCAAATTTATTAACAATTAGAAATGAAAATCCAAAGAAAAATGAAAAAACATGAATTCAGCATCGAAACAACAAAGCTGGGTTCATCGGAACCCAGCTGGGGTCTCGTCGAACCCAATAGCTAGGTTCGGGTAAACCCAGCAAGGGTGGGTTAGACGAGACCCAGCAGGGTTCGTCGGAACCCAGCAGGCTGGGTTCGTCGCAGCCATGGAAACCCAGGGCAGGAAAAAGAGAAAGAGAAAGAAAGAAGAAGAAGGATTGGGTGGGTGAGGGTAGTTAGGTAATTTTATGTCAAAATGTTTGTCACGTCATAAAAAAATTAAAAGATAATATTAAATGTCAAAATGTTTGTCTATGTCATCACTTTGCTCTCCATGTCATCACTTTGCTCTCCATGTCATCACTTTGCTTTCCACATCATCAAAAAAATATAAAAAATGCCACATAAGCGGAGTTAACGGCTCAAATTAATAGAAGGACTAATGGAGTGCATTTCTTGTAGTTGAGGGATCAAAAAAGTGCAAAAAATTGTTGAGGGATCAAAAATGTTCATTTCTTAAAGTTGAGAGACTAAATTTAGCATTTAACCTAATTTTCAAGACTGGCGCGTGGTCAAATCTGTCGGACTATCTACGAGAAATTAAAATATCTCGCCATTCACAAGCAATTATTATTATATCGTGAAAAATTAAATTGGTACTAAAACTATGGCGGGAAAAAGAAGACCTAGAAATCAACCCTTTTAACAAATTATTACTTCCAGAAATCATTTCCGGAGAGAAAGCGAGGCGCAGATGGAGAAGGTGATTTCGGAGGCGGAAGAGCTGCCGAAGGCTATCGTGCGCCGGGTGGTCAAAGATAAGCTCTCCGATTGCTCCCCCGACACCGACATTACTCTTCACAAGGACTCCCTCATCGCCTTAGCCGAAAGCGCGCGCATCTTCATCCACTACCTTTCCGCCACGTAAGCAGAAGGAAAAATACCAAATTGGTGCGACTTAGGTGATGATAGATTTAGGGTTTTTTTTTTTAAATCGATTGAACATTTTTGCAGGGCTAATGATATTTGCAAGGAATCGAGGAGACAAACAATAAGTGCGGATGATGTGTTGAGAGCGGTGGAGGAAATCGAATTTCCGGAGTTCGTGAAGCCTCTCAAGGCTTCCCTTGCCGGTTAGTGGCTTTCTGAGAATTTGGGTTTTCATTCAATATTGTTTGTTGCTAAGGATGCCTCAATTTTTTATATCAGCGTAAAAATTGTAAAAGCTAGCAACTTTGGTCTTGATTAAGAGATATTGACAGGTTCCCATTTTGGGTTTCTCCTAGGGTTTTAGATGAGTCCAAAGCATCTCGAATTTCCATCTTTCTTTGTGTGAAACTTAAAGCTTTGGTGCTATTCCGAGAGGTGATCAAGAAAGATTGTAGCTTTCTTATTGCTATGGAAAGCAGATATCATTCACTCATTGTATGAACACATTTGATTGACAGTAAAGTATCACTTACCTCTAGATGTGAAAAATTATATAAATTTCTTCTGAGTTCTATTGGGAGTTTTTAAACTAACTAGGCAAAGATTGCTAGTCTACAGCTTAAATTTTGTAAGGATCAAGGTGTAGTTCCTTAAAACAGTGAAGAACTTCAACAACATTAAAGCCAGAATTCGGAGTTTCTGTCCAAAAGGCACATTTAGAATCTCTGTTATTTGGAAAAGTTAGTCCATTCTTCCTAGCTATGAGGATAGGCTAAATCCAAGCCAATAGGACTCAAAACATGATATATCTTAGAGTAATTGTTTTCTAATCGGGTTTGAAATGCTTATTTTAGATATTTTCCTTTAGGAATAAAAAGAAAGTAGATTATTTTTCTCTCTTTTCTCTTTTATAGCTGCAATAAGTAGGATGAAAAAGATAAGTTACCGATCTAGTATCTTGCGCAAGAAACTTAAATACTTAATAGTTGATTGCCATTCCTTTATAATGTGGATGGTTCCTCATTAGTACAAGAAATGTGTGACTGAGGCATTGTATCTTGTCATCCTGCCTGTTGACATTTTGTTATTAAAAGTAAATCATATGATTGGTTTCATCTATCTGGAGCTTCTTGCATTTATAGGCTATTTTTAGGTTTCACCTTTATCATCTCCCAGTATGTTAATTCTTTCTCCATGCAATTGTCTTTTGATACCAATAGGTAATATAGAAAACTTCAATTCCACATAAAAATTACAAGCCTGTCTTCTTGTTTGGCAATGATCACTGTTATGTGAAAGATTTTTCGTGATGTGAATTGTCAATGAGCCTTTAATTAGGTGTTTGTGCAGCTTAAACAGCATAGCATTACTCTTGATTTATTGTCTTTCAAGAAGTATAGAATCTTTTCATGGATTGAAATATTGCAATGAAAACCCAGCCTTTGGATAGTTGGAATTCTAAATTTTGTACCTTTTAGGAATGACACACCGTTCCATTCTTTTACAGAGTTCAAGCAGAAGAATGCAGAAAAGAAAGGGGAAGCATCAAAGGCAAAAGAAATGAAGAAGAGGAAATTAGCAGAAGAATCGTCAGGGAAAGATGGTGCTAAAAGCAAACTTAGTAAAAGGGATAAAGACTCTGAAGAAGAGGCTGAAGAGGAGGGTAATGATGATGGAAATGAATACATTCAATCAGAAGGTTAAATAGATAAATACTGATTTCTTGAGATTTCTGGATGTAGGCTGATAGAAAGCGTTAACATTTTTAGTTGCTGGCAAGATGCTCTTTTCCTTTTCGCTTTATTTAGCAGAGAGGACAAAGTCAATACATTCTAAATTTTAATTTGACCTATCCTGGAAGTTCCTCAGCTATCTAGTAAAATTTTGCACTGCTTCTCTAAAAGATTATCATAGTTGGAGGCATGATTTTGTAGACAGCATGTGGATACTTGGCTTTAATTCTATTATCATTTATGTTTTTACTTTTTGATTTGTTGTGAATTTTCATTAGAGTTCTTAGTTTTGCAGTCCAGAGTTGAAGAGATCTGTTCTCATCTAATAATTTATGTTGTGCAATTGAAACTACACTATTTTTTTGTCTCGATTATGTTAATATTGCTTTTATAGAGATGAGAAACAAAATTGATCTGAAGGTCTAAACATTTGCCACTAGATATTTTGGCCAATGAGTGTCATGACATTGGTACATCTTTGAAAGCAGCTGCAAACTTGACAGCATGTGAGAATGATTATTGTATGCACAATATATGCATGGTGAGACATCAAACAGGGGCTACCCTCCCCAGTTTTTGCTTGTAAATATTACCTGTTTCAAGTTTCCGTGCGGGGCATGTTTGTCTCTAAGCAAGAGCAATGCAAGCAGCCGAGACTTTTATCAACAAATGACCCAAGTGGTTTCTTAGATAATCCTTACAACATATAACCAATTCTGATCATACAAATTAGATAATTCCGTTACAAGTTCTGAGAAATTATCTCATGGGACCTTTAGCAAAGCAAAATCTACAATCAAAATCACCTATACGTAATTAATACGTAATTAATAAGGCTGATACCTGCGCCCATCATCACTGTGCTTTCCCCTGCTTGAACTGCCACTCCTGCCACCACCCCTACTGTTTCTATGATTTACTGGGGGGGTTTGGGGATGAGCTCCAGGTTGTTGCCTACATGAAGGGAAAAGTAACGATTTTCAATCATTTGCCATGTTAATCAAATCAAGTCATATGGTATTGCTAGTCTGCTACATTTCCTTTTGGCTAGCACATCAATGACATCTTAAAAGAAGTAAGCTCCAAAGGTAAGTTTACCCCACAAATATAACAACCCAATGGTCAAATGCCGCTCTGAATTATGGCAAACTGCTTCTTTTTCACACAAAACTGGCCAAATCTACTTAAGGCTTTACATATCAATCTTGCAGATTCAATACTAATGAAAACATTGAACCCATTTGATTTTAGATATCAACATTCCCAAAATATGGATATGTCGACAATATTAAGATTTGAAAATATTGGAATTAAAGGGTATACTAAATGACAAAAAAAATGTCATCATCTCAGAGAAAAGTTGGTAGGAAAATACAGCATCAAAGTTGTAGCCCACAAGAGCTCATAAGTCATAACACTTTCCCAAAGAAGGGAAAAATCCATGTCTTGTCATGCATTCTCATAGAAAACTGAAAGATGGACAATAAAAAATTAATGAAAGATTATTGTAGAAAAGAAAAATACAAGTAACTAAACTCACAGGAAATATCCAATCCGTCCATCAGGTAAAAGCATTGGCATCATCGCCATGCCAGCGGGAGTTGGTCCCCTTCCATAGATTAAAGGCTATAAGAAATATAATTTCAATATCAGATTGAGAAGCCACAAAGCAGAAAGGGTAAACTTGACTCAACTAGGGCTTAGTTCCAAACTAGTTGCATGCATGCACACTGATACACACTTGCTCACCTGTGCAATGCCTGCAACACCATATCCTGCACCAAGAGAACCGTAGGCACCTCCAACCAAACCATAGCCAACATGAGGTGGATAAGTTGGAAGCAAACCTGGCTTCAGAGAATTTGAGCCTCCAACAGACTTTTGATCTGCCTGTGGCTTTGCAAGAGAACATTCCAGAACTTGGCCTTAAACCAGTACAGACTGATCAGAATTTACATTCACTAATAAAGATGGATGAAGAGGTTAGATTAGAATTTGTTAATTACCATCCAATTCATATTTTTCAGTGTTTTTCAGTGCCTTCATGGTGCTAGATCTCTCAGCAAAATGTACAAATCCAATTCTATTTTTCTCTTGTCCAGCCTTCACTGGTGGCAGCACAATTTTGGTGATCTTCCCATGGTGTTCAAATAGCTTCTTAAGCTGATCTTGAGTTATATTCTTTGGTAAATTCTTGACATAAACTGTCTTCACCTGCTTATGATAGGTTGAAGTTAGATCAACCAAATTCAAAATCCAATTAGCAGGATACCCAAAAATAAACCATGGTAAAGAAGAAACACCACAGTAAGTTGCAATAATGCAACAACCATAGAGTTAGGAAAAACTGGCCCACCAAGTGTGATAAACTACCACGCATACACTAAAAATGGAGTGCAATAATAAAGAATTGAAAATCAATAAATTTCATCAGTTTACCATAAAAGCTATTCAAATAGCTCAAGAATAAAATACCAACCTCCCCTCCCCCCTGAGAAAGGAGAAAGAAATACCCCCTTTGGTCTTTCATTACAGAGGCTGGCCACAAAGACTTAATGGGAACAAAGCACCCAAATACCCTTCCCCCCTCCTCCTTTCCCAAAATAAATAAATAATAAAATAAAACTTTTCCATAAACCAGAAAGGAACTAAAAGAAAAGCAACTTAACAACACCTGAGAAGCAGCAGAAGAATCAGCATTTTTAGGTTCAGCCCAGCTAACAGTTGGAGCATTATCACCCAGCCTAAATTTGGGGTTCATCATCTTCTGCCTTGAATATTCAGCACATACATTATTATAGTACTCAACAAAAGCAAAGCCCCTGTTATTGCTTGAGTTCTTCATATCCTGTGCCCATTACAGTGAATATATATGAGTTAATTAAAATGTAAAAAGAAAAAATGAAAAAAAAAAAATGTAAGGTGCATCTAAGTTATCTAACCTTCACCAATTCCACCTTAGTAACTCCAGGTCCAATCTTTGACACGACCTTCCTCAGGTCTTCCTCTTCCCAACTTCTAGGAACATTGCCAATGAACAATCGATGCTTTGTTTGAGATGTAGAACATTTAATCCTTTTACCCTGAGAGCAAGGGGGTAAACTACGTTATTCATTGCTGAAGCAAATTTGATAGTATTCAAGTACTCAACATGAAAACATATACCGAATAGAAAGGAAGAAAAGAAGGTAGAGGGCTATTTTTTTCTTTAAAAAAATTCATTGAGTGAAAGCTATATACCTTAAATTCAATATTATTTAGCTCATCAATAGCTTTAGAAGCCAATTCTACACTTCTAAAGGTCACAAATGCAAAGCCCTTGTTCTCATTTGAATTTTTGCCTTTCATGATTCGGACCTGCCATGCAGAATAAGATGGTATTAGTATTTCCATAAAAAAATAAAAGAAGCAAGTTCAGGTAGTTATAGCAATAGTGCTTACCTCTGTAACTTCTCCAACAGATTCACAAAATCTCTTTAAATCTTCCTCAGTAACATCATGAGGAATGCCACCAATGTATACTTCAGAACCATGAGGAGGACAGGCAAGAAGCTCAGCATGTTTTTTCTTCTCCTCCTCATTTTCGACTTTGCCATGAGCATCATTTGCATTTTCAGTATCCTCTTCTTCTTCTTCCACCTCCTCTTCTATTTCTTCCTCTACTTCTTCATATTCAACTTCTTCTTCTTCTTCTTCTTCTTCCAGTGTTTCCTCAGGACCATCATCTTCATCAAAATCAACCTTCTCATCAGACTCAACTGAATGTTCAGGCTCACTTGACCTTTCAGATTCCAATGATTCAGCAGCATCCAATGTATTTGACTTTGGCCTCGGCATGTTATGTATCTATTTAAAAAAGCTTGCCAAGAAACTGTGAAGAAGGGACAGAGGCCAGAAGAATTTATGGGAAGTATACACATATTGAAAGGAGGAAACAAAATGAAAGGCCACAAGGAGTTTTAGATAATGAATCTCATTTGAACTTGTATCATGAGACAAGACTCAAACGGGAGGGCTTCAATTTGAAAGTTCTTCACAAAAAGGAATAATGATGACTTAATACTTTTAAAGTGAAAGGCCAAAGACATATCTGAGTGATAATTATGGGGCTTATGAGGTGGTTCAAAATATCAAGAAATGAACTTCTTCAAATCATAACATGAGTCACAAGACTGCTGTCCAAAAAAAGAAATATTGACATATTTAAGCTTCAGCCAGCTTCATTTAGAACGTTATGACAGGTTACCAAACAAAGAAAAAAGCACACACAATTTTATTTGTTCATGCATACAAAAAAATGGAAATGAGACTGCCACAACAAAAAAGGAAAAAGAATGTCACATTGCAAAGATTCTCCCAAGTAACTTTACACCAATTTCCTTTCAAGGCATAAACTATTTTTTACTTCAATATCAACATATATTGCACTCCTGAAGGATTCTAACCACCCTAAAAAAACCTAATGAATGTATTTCTATTGCCATGAATTCCTTCCATATCTAAAAGCTTGCTTCTTTTACTTAAGCTTGCACTTCTAGAGACAAAAGCCAACACTTTACGAACTAAAAATAAGATTTTTGAAAGGGTCAAGCATTAACAAAAGACACCCAGAACTGGGAAATTACAGACAAGAGAGAGCAGTAATAAGGTATAAAGTCGAAACCCACAATTGTTTTTAAACCAAATCTGACAAACCCATTTCTCAATCAACCTAAACTACTGCAACAGAAACAAACAAGAAACAAGAAACTTGCAAGTACTAAGCTGGGGTAAGTGGAGAGAAGTACCGAAGCTGCTAGCTGCCACTGAGAAGTGAGAAGCAGAAAACCTGCGATGGTTGCCTCAGTTCAATTGCATTTACAAGTAAAGAAGCCCTAAACAGTAATAATGGTAGTGGGAGACAGCTTTGTCCATCAAAAGAAAGAATTACAGAGCTTCTTCTTTTTTTTTTTAATAATTAAATTAAATTAAATATTACTTCAAGAATATAAAATATATTCCCTTCCGGCTTCTGTGTGTGTCTCAAAAAAATATTTACTCAATTTTTTAGCATGTTTAATTTTAAAACTATAAATAAATATTTATTTATTTATAAATTTTATATATCTTATTTATATTAAATTTTAATTATTTA